AGCCTTGAAATGGAAGTTTAATGTAGAAGAAATTATAACATATAAAGATATATATTTTTTGGAGAAGTTTATTGATTAGGGCTTTAGAGATGAAAAAGAANTTGGTTTTTTTCTATCATTCGTAGAAGTTTGTCACGAATCAGATCCATTGTTGTCGAGAAGCTGAAACCGAAGCATTCCTGAACTTCTAATTCCTTCTCTCGGCCCGCTGATTTTTACGAAAGCTACCCTCAAATGGTAAACAGCGGAATTTTCAGATATTGAAGTTTACGGAACGCAGAAAATTATTGTCGAGCCGTTTCATTTGAATTTAGACAAATTACATTTAGCAATGAAAATATTTTATCCCGAACTGATAACAAAAACAACCCATAAAATGAATGGGAAAATTTTGATTAACAGCTAGACAGCAGTGGATATTTTGAAGTAAAATCATAGTAAGTAAAATTCTCCGAAAAATATCCTGAGCAACAAATTAAGGAAACTATATCTAAGAGGGACTCGAGTATCAGTTCAGATATAATTTTGCATACAACCAATCAAATTACTTTAAAAAGTATTCTCATGAGTCACGGATTGACTATAAATAAATAAAATATGGAATTTTGCAATTGTTGTAAAATTCATGTCATATTATGTTATGTTACGATTGTTATTAATAATCATAAAATGGATTGCTTATGATTCCAGTATTGGAAAATGTTGCAATAGATCAGTGCGAAATTTATTGTACGTATATGCTGATCGATTATTAATTAGTGTTAACGATTATAGTTGGACATTGAATAAAATGTCGATATGAAGGCAATTGTTGATAAATAATGGTAGGTGCTTTATGGGGAAATACATTAGTTTGCAGATAACGTTACATAACGTGACATTATCTACCCTATAGCGATTCAGCTAGACGTGATTGCTTCCTCTCATTTATGCGGAATTGTTTGATTGCCATTTTCATTACTTCATACTGAATTAATTGACATCACTGCCAAGCATAACATTTTTCTTTTGTGTTCTTTATATTTTTCTTTCAAAATATCAATTGCCCATAGTGGTGGCATATATCTCAAAATTTCAGAATTTGCATAGAAGAGTTGAGAGATTATAGAAAACATCACATTTATTATCGCCCAGAAAAATGAAGATAATTTGCAACTTACCATATTAGCGGACTGTGATAGGACCAAATTTGATATCAACAGTTGTGCGAATATTTTCATCAGGACTCATTTTCTAGCTTACATCTTCGTAAATGATAAGTTTGCTAAACCAATATCTGAAAATAAAAACTGCGATAAAAAGCGAATCATACTTTTCCACACAGTTTTGAAAGAACACTTGAAAATTTGAATGTGACTTTAGTCACAGTTGTCGACAAAAAATAGTTTACTAAATTATTGTCCTATCCAAAACAAAAATTAGTACTTAGCAATTTTCTCAACAAAATAGAACCTTTCAAATGGGTACTTCATTCGTTATATATTTCTGACTAAAACTGATCGCATTGAGATTGAATATAAGCAATGAATATTATTATTTGTCTATTGGTATCGCTAATATTTTGTTTGGAATTGCGTAAGTAAATGTTATTCGAAATTAAAAATAGAGAAATAATAAACACTTATTCTTCTCTGTAAGAAAATTCTCATGAAATGGCTACTTTTTTGAGTCTTAGAAATTTGTATAACTTTCAAAATATTATCAGCTATATGCCAAAAATGTATTCGACGACGGTATACTGGAAAAAACTATTTCTTATGAAGTAATGTCGTTAATACATCGAAATGTGCAACTTCTACCATATAAACATCTGATAGTTCAACTTTTCTGTAATCGAACTATTTGAAAGGTACGTAACTTTCAAAATCAGCATTATATTATCGTATAAAACTAATTAAAAAACCACAGTAGTGGTAATTTTTCCAAGCTTCATTCATTATTTTCCAGTACAAATTGAACACTATTACTTTATTTCCAATCGATAAAATAATAAGGACATCAAATTTCAGTAGGATATCTAATTTCAGTCTCCAGCTCTGTTCTTTTTTCATTAACGATAAGAGAAGGCATAAAATATTCTTGCATAATCACTAAATTTTTTAAAATCCTTCGAATAATTCAAAGAACCGAGTTTTGAGCAACCCGAATTTGTATTTCGCGCCTCAAGTATGATATTGGTTTTTTTCTATCATTCGTAGAAGTTTGTCACGAATCAGATCCATTGTTGTCGAGAAGCTGAAACCGAGGCATTCCTGAACTTCTAATTCCTTCTCTCGGCCCGCTGATTTTTACGAAAGCTACCCTCAAATGGTGAACAGCGGAATTTTCAGATATTGAAGTTTACGGAACGCAGAAAATTATTGTCGAGCCGTTTCATTTGAATTTAGACAAATTAAATTTAGAAATGAAAATATTTTATCCCGAACTGATAACAAAAACAACCCATAAAATGAATGGAGAAATTTTGGTTAACAGCTAGACAGCAGTGGATATTTTGAAGTAAAATCATAGTAAGTAAAATTCTCCGAAAAATATCCTGAGCAACAAATTAAGGAAACTATATCTAAGAGGGACTCGAGAGATTATTCGAGTATCAGTTCAGATATAATTTTGCATACAACCAATCAAATTACTTTAAAAAGTATTCTCATGAGTCACGGATTGACTATAAATAAATAAAATATGGAATTTTGCAATTGTTGTAAAATTCATGTCATATTATGTTATGTTACGATTGTTATTAATAATCATAAAATGGATTGCTTATGATTCCAGTATTGGAAAATGTTGCAATAGATCAGTGCGAAATTTATTGTACGTATATGCTGATCAATTATTAATTAGTGTTAACGATTATAGTTGGACATTGAATAAAATGTCGATATGAAGGCAATTGTTGATAAATAATGGTAGGTGCTTTATGGGGAAATACATTAGTTTGCAGATAACGTTACATAACGTGACATTATCTACCCTATAGCGATTCAGCTTTTCAGGTACTTCGTTTACAGGTTCTTTGATTTCAGGTACTCCATAAACTATATATATATTTAGTATTGAATGTGTAGAATTAGTTGAAAGACACGCCAGATGAAGCCATTGTATGGCGAAACACGTGTTGCGTTTTTGTAAAACAATTTAGTGAAAATCTCACAATAAAGTGTTTTTGGAAAACGCAATTGAATGAAATGTCCCTTAATTTCATGATAAATCAAATTCCTTGTGTTTTATTAAATTCGGTATAATACCCCAAAAACTGACTAATGTCATTATTTGAGAAGAATTTTCAAACAACGTCGAAGGTTACATAGTTATTTGACGGTAAATTATATCATTAGCTTTACTCGCAGTTGCTGGGGCCATCTCCTAGCCACTAGAGATGTTCACTAAAATAAACAGTACAGAACGTTTAAAGATTTCTCTTCGAACAATGGTGCACTGAAAGTACAGTGTACTATTTTAGCGTTAGATGTCGCCTCCAATACCAGGAAGAAAATCTTCTGAAATGATATCAAATTTGGTGTGATATCTTATTAATGACTAATGGCGATGTTTGTAGGGAATTCTCTTCAACACGGATGGTTACAATATTGTTTGGGAATTAATTACATCATTTTCTATACTCGCAAATGCTGAGGCTCCTAGCCACTAAAGATGTCACAAACAGTACAGACGTTGTTTGAAGAGTTCTATTCAAACAATGGTGCAGAGAATGCAGTGAAAGTGTAGTGTATTATTTCAGCGTAAGATGTCGTCTTCAATACCAGTCGAAAAGTTTTGTAAGGTGGTTAAAAATTTCAAATATTCTTAAATTAATTTGAAATTCAAGGCAAAAGATGGCAAATGAGATAATGCAGGGGACTGCTTTTGAGACATGGCTTCCTCAACGTTCAGTATGTATCTCTGTAGTTGTTTGTAAAATAATTTTTTGCTGCGAACTGGTTTATTTGAGGCAAAAAACCCAAGAGACATTTTTTGTTTAGAATCAAACAGGCTATCGGAAATGAATTTTTAAATGGTGAACAAATAATAAGACAAAAAGTTACATTGGAAATAAATTTTAGAAGTTGCGTTTTCCACCCCTTACACCCATGGGGTAAACCAAATAAAGTACTGGTCAAGTGTCTTTTTGGTAGTACAAAACGTCAAGTTAATTTCAATATTGTAACGTTTTTAGTGCTTGTGAAAAAAATTGTTATACAAATTTTATGTACCC